CCCCAAAACCCCAAAACCCCAAAACCCCAAAACCCCATTTATAAAAATAAAAATTGAAAATGTTGAAGGATCTTCAAAAAATATATACTAAGTTAGAGAACTTGGAGTGTGAGGATGCCAAGCTTAGTGAAGACGAGATGTTGAGTTTCCAATCCATGCTAAGACAACTCCCTAATTTTGAAGATGTCAGCAACCAGTTTCGGAAGGAAATTTCAAAATATGCCAGGACTTGAGTTTTGCCACCTAGTACTGTGTTTATTACTCCTGAGGATGCCGTAATTGACAAGTAAGTGCATATTCTATGCTAATAGGTCTACTAGTTTTATTAGTTACTACTAATTATCTAGTCTATAAGACATAGCCCAATTAGTTAGAATAAATCTTAGGTTTATTATCTTTTGTATAAATGAACAATCGGTCAGAGTTGACGGTTTTCTAGGTACATCCTTGTAAAAGGATCGATTCAGATATCAATCTTCAGTCCTGAAGAAAGCCATGGAAAGCAGAAAATCTTATCACCAGGAGACACTTTTGGGGATTTCTCAGACATTAATCCTGAATGAAAGTGGGAGAAGTTGTATGTGAAGACGTTAGCTGTTGGTGCAGAGGTAAGTTCTTATTTTTACAGCAGACAATCAAATTCTCTACACTGGAAATTCTGCCAGGCTTGAGTAAGTTATTCTTGATAATGTGTAGCAACGTTAAGGAAGGAGCTTGAAATACAGATAAAAATGGAACATCTTTGCACAGTAATCCCTGAACTCAGAAACCGAAATAAAGCAAAAATGTATGAGGTCTGATTATGTTTAGAGGGAGCATTTGTGATTGCATGATGAAGGAGATGTTGTACGTGAAAGACACTTACCTCATCAAGGAAGGAGAGAAGGCAAACTATATTTACATAATTAAATAAAGGCGAACTCAAAATAGTATCATCCAAGAAACTTAGAGGCAGCAATAAGAACTTCGTAGAGTTTCAGATAGGTCGAATTGGAGAGAAAGAATGGGCAGGAATCGAAATTTTAAAGCTTAGAGGAAATCCTATCCCATTTTCTATCATAGCAATGACTCATGTGGAGGCCTATAGAATTAATACAAAGAGGTAAGAACTCTAGTAGCTGATTTATCGTTGAATACTCTAACGCTTAGATATTTATCTAAAGTAACAAACAATTTTATTATTATAAGGATGCAGTTTTGCACTTTCCCAAATTCACATATCATTCTGATGAATCTTCAGTGTATGCTATAGTAATTTCTTTTACTTATGTGCAAAGCTTGTAAAAATGTCTGGAATTCAAAACCATAATTAGCCAAGCTTATAATGTATTTGACAAAATATTGCTGTTCTATTGACAAAAATAATCATATATTTTGTTCTAGATCAGACAACTTAGATTCGAAAGCAAAATCAAAGAAAGAATGGAGCAATGTAAACCTTTGACTAAAGCTTTAGTTGCCGAACGAAATCTTATCCAAAGTTGAATTATTAGCTCTAGAAAGGCTAAAATTTTTAGAGACGAGAATCTGAGAAATTATTCATAGTATGAAGAAGATATCAAAACTTGAAACTTATTCTCAAATTTCAAAGGAAGAGTCAAATAAGATTAGTAAATAAGTTTCCTGCGGCTTCTAAAGGAGCTTTGAAGAATCTTGCAAGGTACTTTTTGACTAATTTTTAGTATCGAGTTTATTAATACTGTGAGGAACGAATCTAGTAATTCCATAAATATCTCCAGGCCGATGACTAATTTCAAACAGTCAAGGTATAGGAATCTCTCACAAGATTTTGAGGCATCTAGTCAAGCATCTGGAGTAATAGATTTCGAGAAGGTATCGACACGGACTATTCCTCCCTCGATGGTGGATTCGCATAGAAAGCTACTGTTTGTACAGCCCGGAAAGTACATTAACAAATATTCATGAAAATAAGTTTGAGGGAATCAATATGGCTTTTTCCTCTCGCCCTGGAACTAAGTCTGGATATTTTCCTACTGCAATTAGTGAAATGGTAAATTATAAGCTAATTGTTAGGGACTAACTGAAAGAAAACCTGAAAAAGAAACCATGAATAATTTTATGAAAACTACACTTCAGACCAGAACTTCAATGGAAGGAACACAGAATATTGAAGTACCCTCACTCAAGAGAAGGTTTGCTACTAAACAGTTGAAGAAAAGAGTAAATTTTAATATAATTTCTTAGGAAAAAGCTCTTCGCTATTCTCGATCTTTAAAGCACTTACCAAAAAGACTATACGGGACTCCTGGATACCCTGTAGATGCAAAGGTGTACCTCGACCTGGCTTGTCACTACAGATACTTTAATGAGAATAAAACAGCTCTCCCAACTTATGACTCAATGAAGTTTAACAAGAAGTCAACAAGAGATAAATAAAATGAAATAAATTTCAACAGTAACTGCAAAGTGAGGGGTTTTGGGGTTTTGGGGTTTTGGGGTTTTGGGGTTTTGGGG